CGAGCGCCTCGCCGGGGGACCCCTCCGCCCGCCGAGGGTCGCGGGGCGCTGGGTCTGGGGGCGGCAGGGTGTCAGGGGCGGGGCTGTGAGCCTCCGGGCTGCGCCGCCGTGCGCTCCGACCGTGTGTGCGCGGTCACGTGTCTGCGTACCCACAGGACGTGGCACATTAAAGCACAAAGGTCAAGGTAAACCAAGGGCAAATGGAGGAACGTCCGGAGGCCGGTGCGTATTCACGCACGCCGCGTTGCTGGAGGATTCCTCCAACTCCGGCAGGTGTTTTCCACTGCTCTGCGGCGCTCAGGGACCCGAGAGCTCCCGCCCTCGGTGGGAAGGGGCGGCGGGGGTGGCGCGGGCGCAGCGCACGTGCGCTCTGTCCCTCCGCGGGGAGGGCCGCCCGCCAGGCCAGTGAGAACCCAGGGGTGCGTCCCAGGGCGGCAGTGCCCCCTCCCACCTACAGGCGCAGGGCCGCACGTATTAAAGAAACACCTCTGGTCCTCCCCCAGTAACGCTGACTAGTCTGACATTCCAGACTGACAAGGAAGGGGCCAGCCCCGTAGAGTCAGAGACAAGTGACACCATGTGTAGGGTGCAGCCGCCTGGCCCTTGGGGACCTGTTTTGCATGAATGGCCACTCTCCCTTAGGGGAAACGTTACCACCTCCACCCTGCATCTGCTGCCTGAAGCAAAACTACTGGCTGGGGGAGCTCTCCCGTCAGAGGTCCCCTGCAAGGCAGGCTGGGTTCCCCGAGTTCCAGCTAAGCTGGTGCCCATCAGTATCACCTGCCGATGCAGCCCTGGCATGGCCACAGATGTCCACGGATGGCAGATTAAACAGTTTGGGATCCCACACTCCACAACTGTGGCTGCTGGCCTCTGGATCTCTGGTGGGTATGCCCAAGGGTAGGGCCCACTCCCTAACGTGACGGTCTGAAGTCCAGCCGCTGGTCCGGCCCACTGCCCAAGACACGGCAGCGCATCGCCCTGTGCACAGACACGATCCGTCTGGCTGCGAGGGACCCCAAGGTGACACCCTGAGCTGCTCTAAAAAGGCACAGGGGGCTGCAGCCAGTCCTGAACTGTCCCACTGTGCCTGAGGCCACCGGCTGGAACACAGGGAGGCCAACCTTGTTTCCATCCAACTGAAACAAAGTCATGTGTTTCTCCTGACCCTGGGGGCCACCTATGGTGATCACAGCTGCAACGACCTGGGGACACTGCCCATGTGGCTTAACCAAATCAGGTTTGTTCATTTTTTAAAAATAGCTTTATGGATATAGAATTCACACGCCATATACTTCACCCATTTAAAATGTACGATTCAGTGGTTTCCAGTGTAGTTATGAGTTTATGCAATCAGGTTTAGAACATTTCCATCATCCCAACAAGCAACCCTGTGAACTAAAATAAAATCCTAAGGACCTCCCCCCAACCAGCTGACTGAATGGACTCCCTCTTGGCCAAGGGGATATCCTAAAACTGAGTTACTATGAGAAAGGAGGTCAGACATGCCTCATCCTGCCCTCCCTCCCTTCTTGGAGACATCCTTTGTAACCCATGGACTGGCCTAAGCATATGCAAGACAAACCTACAGGTCCTCAGTTTACACACAAACGTATGGCAGGTATCTTATCTCTGATTAACAACTCCTTATCTTAAAATATTCCAAGCCTATAGACAAAGCTTCATTTCTTTAACCAATTACAAGTCAAAGAGTCTTTAAACCTACCTATAACCTGTAAGCCCCCACCTTGAGATGTCCCGCCTTTTTAGGCCTAACCAATGTACCCCTTCCATGTATTGATTTACGACTTTACGTGTAATTCCTATCTCCCTGAAATGTATAAAACCAAACTGTAACCCTACTGACACCACTTGCTCAAGGCTTCTTGGGCGTGGCCAGTCCTCAAATTTGGCTCAGAATAACCGTCTTTAAATTATCATAAAGAGTTTGGCTTCTTTTCCGTTGACAGACCAACCCTTTAGCAGTCACCCTCATGCCCCCTGCCCCTGGCAACCACTCATCTACTTTCTATCTCCCTGGAGTCGCCTGTTCTCGACGTTTCATATAAATGGAGCCACAGAGCCTGTGGCCTCTGCGTCTGGCTTCTCACGGTGCTGTAGTGTGTCAGTGCTTCACTGCTTTTCAGGCCTGAACCATGCTCCTTGTCATACTGCAGTACGTCCCACTGTGTCTACTGTATGGATGTACGTTTTCTTCATCCATTCATGAGTTGATGTACCTTGAGGTTTTTTCCAGTTTTGGGCTATTACGAAAAGTGCTGCTATGAACATTCACGTACAGGTTTTTGTGAGGATGTTACCTTTTCATTCCTTTCAGGTATACACCTAGGCGGAGAGTTGCTGTTTAACCTTTGGAAGAACTGCCAGACTGGTTTCCAAAGCACCTGCACTGTCTTACATTCCTGCCAGCAGCGTGCAAGGGTTCCAAGTTCACCATGTTGTAACAGAGGGAATGGCCTGGGAAAAAAAAAAAACCCGGAAAAAATATTTTCTGTCTCTTTAAAACATCCTCCAGTCCTTTTTGAGAACTAAAACCTGCACCCCTGCCTCAGGCCACTGGCTGGGAGGGGCATGGGAATGTGCTTAGTTCTTTGTGCCACAGGAGGTGGGACAGATCAGAACCGTCAAATATAGTTAAACATCAGTTACCTGAAGCTGAACGGCCTCCTTCTATCTTATTTTATTTTATTTTTGCTCCCTCCCCACTCCCGCTCCCTTTAAAACTTTATTTCTGCTTATGGATAGGAACTTTGGATTTTGAGACAGGAGGCCTCCAGGACAAGTATGGAGCTTTGTGTAATGACATCCTCCTGTGAACTAAAACAAAATTTTAAGGTTCACCCCCTCCCCACCGGCTGACTGAATGGACCCCCTCTTGGCTAAAGGAATATCCTAAAACTAAATTGCCTGCCCAGGAGGAGGGAGGTCAGACGTGCCTCATCATGCCCCCTCCCTTCTTGGGGACATCCTTTGTAACCCATTAACAGGCCTAAGGGTATGCAAGACA